AGATGAGGTGGTTGCAATATTCTGCTTTGTGACTGCAGGACCAGTCCCTTGCAGGTTAGCATGCTCTGGATCCTCCCTAGTGCCTCTGGCTTCCAGAGGATCTGGGTCCCCAAAAGGACCACAGGGCAAGTCTGGCAGATCACTATCCTGTCCCCTCCTGGATGGTCAGGCAGGCCTCACCCACACCAGGATCAGATGGCCCCTTGCCATGTCTCCAGGGACCTATGATAGATACACAGGGGCACTTTTCTCAGTGGGCAGTTCCTCGGTAGGAACCAACACCTGTTGTTGCACGGTGTACACAGGCATTGTCGTTTCTGTCACCGATCCTGAAAGGCTAAGAGCCCATCCTCCAGAGGTGTCTCCCAGGTGTCTCAAGATCACTCCTGTTGCTGCATGGCCTCACTGGTCTGCCCTACTCAGCCCAACTTGGCTGCCCGTGAGTCACACTCCCTGCTCTGAGGCTCTGGGCCTCTAGTTCTTTCCATGGCCACACCCAGGTCTGAGAGGGCTATAGTTCTGGCTCACAGACCCCAGGGGATGCCCCTGCCAAGATTCGGGTTAGAGGTGCACCAAAGTGTGTTTGTGGGGTCTTTCCTGGCCGGAACCACTCCTGCTTTGCTTCCCCAGCAGTGTGTGTGTGGGAGAACATAGCATTTCCAGAAAGGTACGTAAGTGCCAAAAGGAGGTAATGATTCTGTGTGCCCCATGGAATGTTGGGGAAGGGGACACCCAACCCTTGACTAAGACCACATCCCTAACACATAGACAGCCCTGAAGCAGGTGCTGCCTCAGCTTTTTTTGGGGGGAGGGCGCTCCAAAGATGCTGAAGAAACTTATCCCTCTACTCTGCTAACTGCACAGCGTTTTTAAAGCAAGCAGTCTGTCTTATGGTTAAAGCCCTCAGCATGCTGACCACCTCTGCTCTCTTCTGCAACCTGGAAACCAGGCTTACTCCTGGGTGCCTCGGGGCAGAGGTGGGAAGAAAAGGTAGCCAGAGGGGCTGCCCAGTGCCCAGCAATGCCCTTCACTTTCTACCCAGTGGACCCAAGTGACAAATTTTTCAGACAATAGGCATTCCATTTTCCTCCAAGAGCTTTCAGTCTCCTTTTGGGCTCAGCAGGGCCACCCTGGAGCTGAACCAGGGATGCAGACTCTCTAGAAGAGAAGTGACTGAAGCTTACCCTCTATATCCTACACAGACACAATGCATTACTGGGCACCCAGTTGCTGTCCCCAAATATCAATTACACTGAACTTCAAACTACTTCGTGGTTCTCCCAGATCTCTCTCCACGGGTGCCATCTGCCCATCCCTGGGAAGGTCTTGTCTCCCAGCCAGGGCCAGGGTCATCTGGAAGACTTCTCAGCTGACAGGGAACATAGATTTCATGAATTCATAATTCAGCCTGGCCAAGGTGTGTTTATGATTCTCTTGAATATGCACAATCCCATCGGGCACTACGGGAAGGACACCTTGCCTACTGAGATGGTGAGGCAGGAGGCAGGAGATCTAGTAAACCTGTTGCCATAACTGAAGCTGCCTCGCTGCTGTGGAATAATTGTCTTGCATACTGTGAAGATTTGTCACTCAAGTTGGTTTAATAAAATGATAATTGACCAGTAGCCAGGCAGGAAGTATAGGCAGAGGCAACCAAACTAAGGATGAGTCACCAGGCAGATGCAGAGGGAACAGGAGATGAACCAGGCAGATGCAGAGGGAACAGGAGATGAACACGCACTGTTAATAAAGGTACTGCCACGTGGCAGAGTGTAAATAAGGAATATGGGTTAACTTAAAATGTAAGAGCTAGTTAGTAATGAGCCTGAGCTATTGGATGAGCATTTACAATTAATACAAGCCTCTGAGAAATATTTGGGACTGGACAGTCAGGACAAAAAAGCTCTGCCTCCATTTATACCTCACTTCCTTCAGGAGGCTGAAGCACAGTAAAAGGGTATGATAACCAGAATACAGGCTATATTTTAAATCCTGTACTTTTGGTGCAGTTCATCCTGGTACTTTTGGTGAAGTGAACCACACAAGCATCCACACACAGCCAATGAGAAACAGAGACAGGTAAACATTGATGGGTAATGCTGTGTGAATCTACTTTGCATCTGAGCTAAAGAAGACCGGGACCTCGTCTGATAGAATTTAGCATAAAAGAGGAGGCTTGAAGAGGTGTTGTGCTACCCTCACCCCCACACACACACCACACCAGGAACTAATAGGATGATCAGTTCCTTAGCTGCCCCTGTTGTCCACACTGCTCAGGGATGCTCCCTCCCTTCTCCTTCCCATTGGCTGCTCTTCCAGAAGAAAGGTAGAAGGCCAAGCCATCCCAGCACTCCTTGTTACTGCAGAGAGAGAGGGGAGGAAAGGAGGGAAAAGAGGGGGGAGGGATGGAGGGAGAAGGAGAAAGAAAGAAAGAAAGAAAGAAAGAAGAAAGAGAGAAAGAAAGAAAGAAAGAAAGAAAGAAAGAAAGAAAGAAAGAAAGGGAGGAAAGATAGGAGGCTGAAGGGAAGGACAAAAGACAAGCAGGCTGTGTCTGCTAAAATCTCATCCCCCTTCCAAGCATCCTCTCCTCCAAATGACCTGAAAAATCCAACACAGAATGCATGGCAGAGGGGTGGATAGAGTTGGTTCACACCAGAGCTTATTTAGTTTGCACTGTCTTTTGGGAGACGAGGCTATAGGAGCTAATCACACAGCAACTCTCTCTTAAGATGGGCTGACACATGGGAATCCTGAACTCAAGGATCAAAGGTGTGGGCAGACATATTGCTGGAGACCTGATCAAGGCCTGAGTCTCCCCTGGCTACAGCACAGAACATCTGCTTACACTGTACAAAGGTCACTCTCTCAGATCCCAGGACAGGAAACTAGATGAGCTGAGCTCAGGCTATAATGAGACTTGTCTGACAGCATTTCCTCCTCTGGCTGTCTGCTGTTCCAAGCGGGGTAGCTGGGGTGAGGTGTACTCTCTGAGGGCCACAATTCTCCCTACAGCCTCCCTTTTGATGGAACACAGTAGTTCTCCTTTAACACAGTTTTGATGTCTGGAGTTTCATTAATCATCAACTGCAACTAAAAAGATCAAACGCAGTCTGAAAATATGAGGTGGTAAATCTCAGAAATAATTCATAAGTTTTAAATTGTGTATCATTCCAAGGGACATCATGAACCTCTCATCACCTGCTCTGCACTTCCCAGAGCGTGAGTTGTCCTCCTGTCCAGTGTATACACACTATATATGCTACCTTCCAGGAAGCCATTTAGTAGCTGTTTCAGTTGTCGGGTTCCCCCTCACGGTATCACAGTGTTTGTAATTAAATGACCTTGTTTTACTCAATCCTGGCCATAGGAGTGTGTGCTGGCAACACATATGTGCCAAAGAGAAGCTGTAAGGACAGGGCAATGTCTCAGTCAGTAAAATGCTTGCCACTCAAGCATGAGAACCTGAGTTTGATCCTCAGATCCCTCGTAAAAAAGCCAGGTAAGGTGCTGTGCACCTGTAATCCCAATACTGAGGGTGCAGAGACAGGAAGATTTCTGGGGCTTGCTGGACAGCCAGCCTAATCAAATGGGTGAGCCCTGTGTCCAGGGAGAGACTCTGTCTCAAAAAACAAGGAGGATAGCTCCTGAAATGTCATAGTCAAGGCTGTCCTCTGGCTTCCACAAATACAAGCACGTATGTATGCACGTACCCCCAGACACACACATACACACATACACAAACATACATGAGGGAGAAGTCACAGGTGCCACTGAGCGAAACATGAACACTCTTGATTTAATGAGAAAAAATAAAAGGTCTTTGCTGAAGTTGCTGGGATCGACAAGGCATCTATCCATGAGATTACAAGAGGGGGAAAGTATTAGCACTATTTTTGCTGTCACATCTCAGACTGCAAAAGGCATAGCTCTTTCTCCAAGGAAGGGGCCCTGGAAGGGTGCCACCTCACAGGCGGCCGAGAGGGTACCACCTCACCCTCGGGTCCAGATTCCCACAAGCTGCTCTGATGTAACCCAGTCCACACAGATGGACAAGTGAGGCAGTGGTTAGAGCTGAGGCGCCAGGAGGAAGGCGCTGTGTGGACAACTCGGCTGGGAGCTCTAGAGGTTTTGATTTATAATCTTTGTTTTGCAAGGCTCGGGGATTTTTCCCTTCAAGAAGCACTCAACTTCCTTGAATTTTAGACCGTTCACAAATATTTTTTTAGGAGAAATGAGAAGAAGAAAAGCCTCCACCAAATGCCTGCCGCAGCTACTCACTTCCACCATGAATCAGAAACACAAAACCACAGCCCTGTGGCTCACAGGGGAACTACGCGCTTTCACAGTTCATTACTGGTAGTCATTTGGCAGTCGTCGGTGTCATCTGCAGACAGACAGGTGGACACACACACACAGACATCCCTCTGGGACTTGAAGGCAGGAGTTCCCGGTTTGCATGCCTCCCATTCTCTTTTTCTAATCCATTTCTAGGAAATTATCCAGCTCAGCTTAGGTCTCTCCCTTAGGCACTCCCTGGAGGTGGAGTTCAAGTGTGTGTGTGTGTGTGTGTGTGTGTGTGTGTGTGTGTGTGTGTGTGTGTGTGTGTGTGGGGGGGGGGAGCGCTAACCCCATGAATGCCACACATCGAAACAAGTATATATTTTAGAATCTTCTCCTTCTCCTTCTTCTTCTTCTCCTTCCTCTCTCTCTCTCTCTCTCTCTCTCTCTCTCCCTCCTCCCTCTTCCTAACAGCACTGGACTTTCCTGAAGCAATTTTCACCTGGGAAGTGCTTGTTGGCTTTTCTGGCAATGCCCACTAAACTAACTGATGGCAGATTTACAGATTGAGTAACTGGAAAAACTACTGGGCCCATAAATCAGAAACTTCCTCCACATGCCTGGCAAGGGTGAAACCTGATATAGATGTGAAAGTCTTGAGCTCACAAGGAGAAGTCTTGGAGCCTGGGAAACCTCCACCAGGACTATGGAGGTACCAACTCCCTGCCACTCAGCACTCAGGCCCTGGTCACACATGTGCCCCCCTGGGGCTTTGCCCACCTTTCCTTTCCTCTTGCTTCTTTGATCCTTCATCTCTCCATTCCAAATGAAAATCCTAAGGGCCTGAAGTCCACCAAGCGCTGGTGTGTTTCCAGTTAACTCGGTTGCCCTAAGTTTTCCCCCACTGTATCGTGGTAGTGACTCAACAGCCTGCTCACAGGATACTGGGAGGCTGCACCGGTGCTGGAGGCTCTTCTACCTGCCTTGGTGGCCTCCTGACATCCCTCTCAGGCCACACTAGGCCCTGGGAGCTTCTTCATCCTGGATACTACCCAATGGGGAAGATCCAGGAAAAGATCAGAGGGAGGAGGAAAGTGAGTGGCGGTCCCATCCTCTCAGAGACTCTAGACAAGCCCTGTAGGCTGGCCCCAGGGGCAGCCTGCCCTGCAAATGTGCTACTCTGGATCCTAGCAACTGCCTCTTGTCCCTTGAAAGGAGACTCCACCTCTCGTTTTCTCCCCCCCCCCCACACCTTGTTAAACAGACCTCATATTAAATTGTCCCCACAGAGCTCTCTCTGCTTTCCCTCTGGAACTCAATACAAACATGGAACACTTCTCACTGTGGAGCACTACACCCTGAACTGTGTGGCTCAGCACTTTCTCCTGGATCTGTCATCATTCAACCCATAGCCCTGTGTGGTCAAGCATTGGCAGGAGCCCTATATTACACCGAGCCTCTGAGAAGTGAAAAAATATCCACCGCAACCCACAGCTGGTGAGCAGAATCATATGAAACTGTGGTCTGTCTGCCTTATGAGCCACACCCTCAACCTGTGCCTTCTTATCCCCAGTTTGGGGTTAGGTGGAACTCATAAAGCACCTCAGCTTCCTCATTAAGACTCCAATGGCGGTTGGACTAAACCAGCAACCATACTACACTCAAAAGATCCACACTCTAAATTCTGCATTACCACAACCCTAAGGTTATCCTAATGCCACACTAAAGGCATAATGCCAATCTCACTGTAACCACCACACCACTGTTAAACTGAAAGAACATCACCCTAACCACAGCCCTAGTCCTCCCACTATTAACCTGAGCATCCACCACTACAGCCGGAAATCTAGACCTACTATTAAAGTTGGAACTCTGGGGACCCTCTTTACTCTTTGTTCCTAGGAGTTTCTTGCCTTGTCCCCATTTATTTTCCAAGGACACAATTGATTAAAAGACATTTGTAAAAAATCCCCTTCCCTCCTAACACTAAGCTGGAGACTTTCATGCAGGGATCACAAGGAGGGTCAACAGTGGGGGTGCAGTGAGTCTTGGTGGTGGTGGAGGTGGTGGAGGTGGTGGTGGTGATGAAGATACTCTGTAGCCTTCACCACTGAGCTGCAAGTTGTGGTTCAGTAATCGGCCAATAGATTAACTCTTAGCATTTGTAAATGGCTGGGGCTGGGGCTTGAAGAATCATTGCAGTAGTTTGCATCTAGACTGCCCCTCTACATACAGCCTGTGTATTAGAGGCTTGATCACCAGAGTGGTGCTATTTGGAGTTGGTAGGATTTTTAGGAAGGGGTGGGGACTAGTGGGAGGTCCTCCAGTCACTGGTGGGAAGGGATACAGCATCAAGGGGGATTTGGGACCCCATTATCTTCCTCTTTACCTCTTGTTCCCTAGGCATGAAACAAGCATCTTGCTTCACCACACACTCACTCTCTGGCTTGGCAGCCAGAGGTCTGAAGCAATGAGTCTGCTCAGTCTTGGACTAGAATTTACAAAACTGTGAGTCAAAAACAAACCATTTCTTTTTATAAGTTAACCACCTCAGGTATTTTGTGATAGTGGTGGAGAGCTAATATAGTTCTGTTCTAAAATAGAAGCTATGCCTGGGGCCTGATAGTCCTCAGCTCTGACAGGTCTTAGAAGGAATGCCCAGATTTCATCAGAGATTTGGGGGTCTCCGTGGACAAGATGTTCTTGTTTGTACTTATAGGTGGGAAAAGGAAGAGGGGATTATGAGAAGTATAATCTGACTGCTCCCTGAGGGTAGCAGATGGATTCTGGGAGACTCCTGGTCGCTGCTCTCCTGTGCAAGTTGAGGTTTGCCTCAGCAACCTAGGCATGTCTGCTTTGGGCCAAGCATAGCAGGAGGAGATTCCCTGGTCCTGGCACATTGGAGAAGGCCTCCACCTTCCTCAGAGCTGCTTTCTGAACCCGTATCCATAGGGTCAAAGCTGGGCTGCTGCCCTGGGCTACATCTGGGTTTCACTGCGTAGCTCTGGCTGATATGGAACTACCTATGTACACCAAGCTGTCCTGGAACTCACAGAGATCCACCTGCCTCTGCCCCCCACCCCCAAGTGCTGGGATTAAAGGTGTGCATCACCCAACAATCTCTGTCTTTTTATACTATACACAAGTGCACCCCAAGGCCAGCCCTGCCCTGCCCAGGGCCTGAATTCTGTAAATCTCAGAGTTGGCATGGTAGATGCTAACACTACAAAGGCCCAGAAATCCTTCCACCTTTCAGGGAACCTAGAGAGAAACTCAGTGGTCAAGTCCACCTGGAGAAGACTATCTTGAAGCATCTTTGTGGGGGAAATGGGAGACAGCAGCTTCCCTTCTCTCCTCTCCTGGGAAGAAGCCAAAACTAGAATCACACATCAGGTGCACTGGGCCATGGGCTGTACAACTCTGCCTGCTAGAACAGTGTTTCCAACCACCCGGTCACTCTAGGTTTCTCTGCTGGCCAGAGACATGTTAGAGAGGGGGTGGGGGTGGGGTGGAGGGTCAAAGGACCCTCTGCAAACCTTCAGGTGGCCTTTCTATACTTCCACAACTGCTTCTGCTAACAGCAAGGATGGGGACATAGGAGGTAAAGGAAGTTCTCAGCTGAGTTGAGAGAGAGAGAGAGAGAGAGAGAGAGAGAGAGAGAGAGAGAGAGAGAGAGAGAGAGAGAGAGAGAGAGAGAGAGAGAGAGAGAGAGAGAGAGAGAGAGAGTGTGTTTCCAGAGCAGTAAGCAGTTGTACCCAGGACAATAGAACCTCTCCACTGATTTGTCTTCTTTCATGTGCGTGGTGACAATGGTCCTGGTGTAGTAACCATGCCCCCATGCCAGCTAACGCTACCCCTAATAGATCTGCTTGTCACACCTCCCCGTCGGCTGAATCTAGCCCTTATAGTCTACAAGAAGACTACAAGAGCTCTCATTTTTCTGTTCTCTTCTCAAGTGCTCATGGCAAAAAGAACCTGCCCACTGATGGCTAACCTACTAAACACTAGAATCAGATACCACACAAAGTGCCCTACTCAGCTGGTCTCATTTCCTCCTCCTGGAGATCCTATCAGATGGAGACTATGGGCTCTGAGAAATTAGGATGTGTGCCTAATGTCACACAGATGGTGTGTGTAAACTCAGAACAAGAGCCAAGGCTTATCTGAATCCAAAACCCGGGTGCTAACCCGTGGTTTTGAGATGTGGTCCATAGACCAGCACATAACTAACATCACCTGGGACCATGTAAGAGACACTCTCTCCAGACTGTGGAATCAAAAGCTGTGTGTTAACAAGTTCCCAGAAATCAACATAGAGGTTAAATCCTTGTCTGAAGCAGTTTCCCACAACCCACTTGTCTCCTGTAACCAGCCTCGTCTCCCAAAGCCTTTGCTCAGCGGCTTCATAGGTGGGCAGGCCCTCTGCCCAGCCAGGGACAGCAAGGCCCACTAGCCTTCATGGACATCCTGACTGCTGCCATGACTTTCCAGGACCCTCCTTCTCATCTACCTTTAAATGTGCATCTAAATGGTGCACGGGTCCTAGCCTCTGCCTGGTGCTCTTCTGAAAGGGCTCTGGCCATCACAATCCCTGCAGGGTTGTCCCTCCCACATCTCACTCTCCTTCCCACTCCTAGAATGTCCTCTGTGTCCTGTCACTCCTTTGTCTGGACAGGCCTGGCCTGTCCAAGCGGCTATCAGGACAGAGGCCAGCAGCTGCTTGGGAAACCTGGCGGAGCTCACAGGAAGTGTTTAGCACTACCAGGCATGCAGAATTTGGCCTCGCAAAGCAAAACACAGCTGGGTGGACAGCAGCCGACAGTGGGACGCTCAGACTTGCCCGGATTTCATGCTTGGAGGCCTCAGGGCAGAAAGGGATGGGACTGGCCTAGGGGCTGCAGTGCATTAAGGACACCACTGTGGCCTCTAGCCTGAAAGCCTGTGGGAGTCAAGGACGAACCCACTGTGGGCCAAAGACTTCACCCTGACCTGAGCCTCCGATAGTTCCTACACCAAGGACAATATCCCTAGGATACAACCCACAAGCTAGACTTCTCACCTTTCAGTCATTCATGTACAAATAGGTTGAGCACTATACTATGTCAGGCACTTGGTGTTAGATGTCAGGGACAATGCATTCATGAACAAGCAGGAACAAGCGTCCTTACCCTCTGAGTGGTCCTGGTTCAAGGAACAATGAATGGTCTATCTGGAGGAAGGGGAAAGTGCTATAGAGGGAACCACGCCCTCAAGCTGGCATCTTGCAAGTGCCTTCAAGTAGGCCTATCTGCTTGGGGCTCACAACCTATAACAATCAGAGAAAGGGCCAGGCCCCGCCCACCAGCTCATAGCCAATCCCAGGCCACCTGTGTTGTGTCCCCAGACCCTTGGTTCTTCCCTAACATCTGCAGGCCTTGGCCGTAGATGACGATTGGGTTTTGATCTTGAAGCTCCCTAAGCCTCAACCTGAGATCACCTATCCTTTCTCCGTGTTTCTGGCTGCCCTTGGAAAGCACCAGGTGCTCATATCCCTGCCACCTCCCCAAACAAAAGCAAGGTAGCGCCTTGCTACCTCAGAGTAGCCTGCCTGTGGCTCCTGCTTTCAGAGTTGCTGGGTCTCTCCCACCCTTCATTCCCCCTCTTCCTGCTTCTCAGCAGGTCTCTCTCGACCTTTCTGGCTAAGGACCTGACCTCAGCACCAGCCTCCCCACCCCCACCCCCCTTCTCTCGGCTCTGAGCGGGCAAATCTGTTTTCCCCTTAGTTCAGCAAGACAAGGTCGGTTGCAACATTTCAGGAAGAACTCCCTGAGTGGATGGATGCGAATGGAAAAACCAACCTAAAAAGCTGAAAGCAAACAGCCTCCTAGAAACGGACCAGTTTACCAAGTTCGGATTTCCCGTCCTAAGTTAGAGAAAGGTCTAGCCAGATTTGGGGTGGGGGAGAGGGCAAGCAGGCCAAGGATTGCTGCCCGTCAACTCCCCCAATTTTGCAACATGTACCTCCTCTTCCCTCTAAAAGGAGAAGTTTGGGGGCGAGTGAACCAAATGGGGGTAAAGGAGCATATCAACCCCATAGGGAACCGTGGCGGCGGGGGAGTGACAGGAGATGGAGGAGGCGATGGGGTAAGGATAAAGGGGGAAGGATTTATAAAGAGCCGAGATACATGCACGCAGTGCTGTTGGGGACGTATAGTCACTAATTTAATCCTCACAAATCCATGACATAATTGTCAGCTGTGTTGCATCCTCACTGACGAGCGACTGTCCCACAGCCCCCACCCGCACCCCCAGAAGGAGACTTACCTGGCTGGCAGTGGTGGTGGTGCCAGCGGCTGTATTCTGGTCACAAGACTTCCTCTGGCCTCACTGTTCCTATGAGGGCTGGGTACCCCCTCCACTGAGCGTCTCGGCCCGGGCTTGGCGTTCTGGGGGTCAAATTCCTCTTCAGGGATGACTTCTTCACAGCGTGCCCCGCGGAAGCCAGAGCGGCAAACACAGAGCTGGGGCCTACTGCAGGAGCCCCGGTTCTGACAGGGAGGCTGGCACACAGCTGAGGAAATAGGAAGAGAGTGATGACAGCAGGGCCAGGTGCCATAAAGCCACGGGCCACCCACCAATCCTATGTCCTAGGGGCTTCTGCCCAGGGGAGAGGACCTTGCCAGGCCCCTCACATACATGGGAAGCCCAACACCTAGCCTTAGAATGCTTCTGGGACCATTTCTCTCCCTGCTACCCACAGGTCTCCAGGATGAGTATGGCTCTGAGTTTTGGACAAGAGTTGTGGAGTGAGCTCTCACCACAGCACCAGAAGGACACCCTGAAGGGAAAAGGACCACTTGGCGCCCTATTAATGTTTAGATGTTCACTCCTATTGGGCTACAGAAACACCAAACAAATACAGACATTTTATTTCTTGTCTTCTGGTAGCTTCAGAACTTAAAAATAAAGATTGGTACCAAGTAAATTATCAATAAATAATGAATGAATGAATGTCTTTATGGGAAAGGTTCAGCATTAGCCTAAAAGCCAATTTTTGTTGTTTGCTTGTTTGTTGTCACTTTTGAGCTCTGCAACCTAGACCTCACTGAGCCTGTTTTCTGGTGAATCACAGGGGTGGGCTGTGGAGGTTGGGAGAATCTAAGGCCTCTAAGATACCACCCCCAATCTGTCTGTAGTCTCTGAGATCCCCAACTCGTTAAGCATTCTGGCTTGGGCATTGGGATGATTCTGCCTAGTGGGTCCTAATCCAAACTGGAGACAAGGTGGAGGCTGAAACTGGGTGTTTTCCAGTAAGCTGGTTCTCAATCTGGGGGTGGAACAACCCTTTCATAATAGCCATCTACCATCCTGCATATCAGATATTCAAATTGCGATTCATAACAGTAGCAAAACTATAGTTATGAAGCAGCAAAGAAAATCATTTTATGGCTGGGGGTCCCCACAACATAAAAGGTTGCAGCGCTAGGAAAGTCGAGAGCCACGTCTCCAAGCCTGCCCTATGAGTAGCCCTTCTCTCTTCACTGCCTTTCCCACCTTACAAAGGCCAGAGACAAACCCAATGAACTGCAGCCACCTGGGACCCCTGCAGAAGTCCACTTTGGAATGTAAAGCCAGGCCACTTTCTCCCAGGATCTCCATTACAGGTGTGAATCCGTGGTCTAGGCCATTCTGGGCATTCTAGAAGGTCTCATCCACCTGCCTTTCATTCACTCAATAAGTGGTTGTTTAGCCCTACTGAGGGCCCACTGTGAAGGCTAAGTCGTCTTTCACATGGGGTTCACACTCCTGTGAGGGAGAAGCAGGAAGCAAGAGAACTATAGTATGGCATGGCATCAGGCAGACAGAAGGGTGACAGGGTGTTCCGGGCCATTCAGATGAAGCAGTTCAACAATTCACCGAAGAGGGAGGAGTCTGGTAGGAGTGGACTGGAAAGATTTGAGCAGAGTTCCAGAGGAAAGCACAAAGTCCTGGAGGCTAGAAGGAATGTCGCATGCTGGGGAAAGCACAAGGGGTCCATGGAGGTTACAGGCTGGTGGGCATGAAGGGGGTAAGTAAGGTCATTTAAGGTTATGGAGGAAACAGAGACCTTGTTGCCTCACTCATTCTAAGTACATTTTTGAAACCATCAAACCACCGCTACTCAGATCACATGCCTCCGGGGAGGGGTTCGTAAGAAATCACTCTGAAAGGAATTTCATATTCCAACCACAGGTCAGTTTAGACGAAACTGCAATGGTAAATTTTGGTTGTCAGCTTGACTGGATCTGGCCAAATATATGGAGGTTCACCGCTACCAGCTAGGTAAGTCTCCTCCTGGGTTAGAGCAAGGTAAGCTACTGAGCGCATTTGTAGGACATCTTCTTGATTGAGTTATTTGAAATGAGAAGACCTGAAATGTGGGTGGCATCTTCCAGTGGCAACCAGATATAAGGAGGCCAAGGAGAAAGCTTTGTTCTTTGCCTGATGGCCTTCCTGTTGTCTTGCTGGCAGACTCATCTACCCTGTTGTGTCTTGAGTTCATCTACTCTGCTGCTGCTTCCAGTCTTCACAGGACTCAGATCCCAGTGTGGAATGAAGACCAGTGGTTCTCCAGGAATCCTCCAGACCTTCTCCGTCAGATGGGGACCACTGAGCACCCAGCTTCATGGACTGAGCTGTCAGTCTCTCCAGTGTGAAGACAGTTACTGTTAGCATACCCAGACAGTACCATGCAAGCTAATTTAATAAATCCTTTTAGTATATATTCATTCTATTGGTTCTGTTCTCCTAGAGAACCCTGGCTAATACACTCTCCAAATTTCTAGCCCATGCCATCTCCCTTTTGGGAAGTTTCAGTTTCTTTAGCATACAGGTACACACCAGCACTGATGACCTCCTAACTCCGAACTCTAACAACACTCTAAGTCAACCCACTCAGGCTGAATTTACTTTCTGGCTTCCTAACCTGGTCACTTGCCTAAGAGCTACTATGCCCTCAAAGTCACCTCCCCATCCCTGGTGACCAGTCTTTCAGTGTCTGTCTCCTCTTTTGAACAAAAAGCAAAAGCACTTTCTGTGCATGCCTCTGCCTGAGCTCATCCAGTGCGTGGGTTTGCCGTGCTGTGTCTCAGTGTCCTCATCTATACAGTTAGCCCTTAGGAGTGCAGTCATCTTTAGCTCCTGGCATTCAATAGCACAACCATCCTCTTCACTCTGGCAGTTACCCCCCAGTGGGTGCTGACAATATACCTTGCAAATGGAGTCTCATTTACTCCTCTCTACAACCCTTTGCAGCAGGTATGACTACCATTCCTAGTTTGCCCATAATGCCTATGGAAGTCAAGGAGGTTAGACTTGCCTAAGGTCACCTAGCTAGATAATGGAGTTAGCATTCAAATCTATGACTAAATATAGCCATCCTTATTCTTGCCTACCAACTCCCAGCATGACTTGCATGGCTCTTTTTCCTACAACCTCTGAGCCCTGGCTTGGAGCTGCTGATGATAACAAAGGATATGTTGGCTTCAAATTATTATTATCAAAGGGGCTATTGTAAGCCCAGCCCTGGGGAAGCTGCCCATCCCAGGCTGGCCCTGGTAGGTAATGAAGGCTCCAGGCTGATTTGCCCTTTATGAGAAATTTCAATTTATGAGGGATGATGCATGCCCGCTCACAAATCTGCTTTGATAAGTGTTCTTAGAGTACTCACAAGGTCTGAGCTGTGATAGAAAAAGTCTCTAGTTTACTATACAGACAGGACACACAGGTCCGTGGGGCTAGTGTTGTTAGCCAGAGCCTCTAACTCAGGATGATTAGAGTGATAGTTAGGAAAGTTTCTTGGAGTAAGTGATGCTGACCAGCCATTCAAAGGATGAGATGATTGGAAAGCCTGCCCATCAAGAGTATTCAAGGGCAGGCTACCCAATCAGTAGGTAGTAAGGGTAGTAACCGGGAGACAACTGAAGGATGCTAACATGAACTAGATCCTAAGGCCAAGTATCTTCTTTGGTGCCTCGGTGTCCCTTTCTAACAGGTTCCCGATACCCATGTAAGCAGATAATTCCTGAGAACCGTAAGCCAAACCCTTTCCCAAACACAAACTGTCACCCCAAGATTTTAGCCAATGTCTAGACATCATTCCATCTGCCCAACTATAACTAGCTACCACCTGACCATCTGCCCAGGCCCATCACTACCATCTCGGCCATAGATACTTTGCCAGCGTAGCAGGCAAAGACTGAAGAAGGCAGATAGATATGCCATGGGCACATCTTGAGCCTGGTTTTCTTTCAGGAAGCCATGTGGACCCATCTCTCTCACCCAGCAGAGACCCCAAATCCGGCATTCACAAGGTGAGGGTCATGCAGCCCCTACCTCTGAACAAGTGAGACTTGCCTCAAAGGTGGCTTTAAAATTGAACCCTGAACCTGGGTCCTCTGGAAGAGCAATTAGTGCTCTTAACCCCTGAGCCATCTCTCCAGCCCACCAAAGGTAGCTTTCGATGTAAGATGGCCTTCTCCCCTCCTAAGCCCCAAGGACGACCCATCCTCGACATTAACCATAACATCTTTCACTCTCTGGAAATCTGAGACACCCAGCCCTGCAAGCTAAGCCCCTCTGCCTCTCTCCACCACTTGTTCTGGTTCTGCCTTCTCCGACAAGGCTGTCTGCTGCCAACCTCTGTGAACACTCTCTTGACCAGCCCTGAGGGTCCAGCAAGTCCATAGATGGCTGAGATCAGCTACACAGAGGAAACCTCACCTGTGGGGTTCTCACACTTCCAAAAGGTCTTTTCTCAACCAGGAATTCCATTCTCAGGGAGGACTTTGGTTGGTCCAATGAACAGCTCACGGGGAATGAGTGGTCAGGAGGGAAACTGGATATATCATTTTCTCTGTCTGTTATATCATAAATAAATGTCTTAAGACCTCCAGACCAGCCAACTGTGTTGACAGATAAACACCCTCCTGGGAAGGTGGCCTTTCCCAATTTGGGGAAGCAGACCTTCCCTGTTGGGAGGTTCTGAAGGTTTGAACCAGCTCTTACCAGCTTCCTAGCAGTCTGTCTTGTAAGGTCTCCACTAATCTCAGCATGTGACACACTACAATGTCTGCTGTTTTGTTTTGCTTTGTTTTGTTTTTAAATTTATTTTATGTGCATTGGTGTGAAGGTGTTAGATCCCCTGGAACAAGAATTACAGATAGTTGCAAGCTGCCACGTGGGTGCTCAGAATGAACTCAGGACCTCTGGAAGAGCAGGCAGTGCTCTTAATGGCTGAGCCATCTCTCCAGCCCCAGTGGTCTGGTTTATTCTGAGCCAATCACATGTATTAAGAGACTGTATCATGAAGTCCTCTTTCTTCCCATACAAAGGCTCCCCTAAATGGCTTGCAATGGTGGCCTCAATTGTCTAAGAAAAGGAAAATTCTGACAGATTTTTTCCTGTTTTTTTCCTGTGTTAAATGTTCTTTTAAACTTTCTTTTGGCATGTATACATGTGTTCACATGAGGGTGGGCACTCAAGTGTGTACTGGTACTATGCACATGTGTGCATGGGAGGCTAGAGGCTGGCAATTGGGTGTCTTCCCTGACCCTTCTAAAGCCATGTGGTAAATTTCAAATTATGAGGGAAGATGTGTACCCGCTCACGTATCTGCTTTGATAGATGTTCTTGGAGTACTCACAAGGTCTGGGCTGCGATAGAAAAAGTCTCTAGTACACTATACAGACAGGACACACAGGTCCATGGGGCTAGTGTTGTTAGCCAGAACCTCCTACTCAGGCTGATTAGAGTGTAGTTGGATGGTAGGAAGCATTTACCTTAGAAGGAAGCAGGGCTTCTCACTAAAATCTAGGATTCACCATTTGACTAGGCTAACTAGTCAGCTTGTTCCAGTTATCCTATGTATCTGACCCATGGGATTACATACAGCCTGCCATACCATCCTGCATTTATGTGTGTGCCGGGGACTGAACTCTGGTCCTCACAGCAAGTCCTCAAGACGTTGTCCCAGGCCCCGGAATGGTATTTTCAAATTAAAAGTGGTCACATATGACAGTTGTTTTAAAATTCGCCCAATTCCCTCCACTTGGAAAACTGAAAAGCTGGTCGCTGTACACTGGCTCTTTTGTTTTTTTATTTTTATTTATGCTCAGTGTGTGAATGTCTATGACACGAAGGGGGTGCAAGTGTGGAGATCTAAGGACAACTTTGCAGAGTCAGTTCGCTCCTTTATCTTTACTTGGGTTCTGGGGATCAATCAGGTCATCAGGCTGGTGTGGCAAGTGCCTTTACCAGCTGAGCCATCTCGCAGGTGTTTTTTGTTTGTTTTGTTTTGTTTTTGCTATTGTACTGATGCATGAAATCCAACCACCCCGTGAGAGAGGACAAGCATGACCTTATGGAAACAAATGAGCACAAATCTCAAAATGTATCAAAAGCAAACTGTCCATCTCAGAATTGCTTGCAACCGGGGCTTGCAACAAGTAACAAAATAATGCACCCGAGGAGAGGTAGCTCCAGGCAGGGCTATGACATCTGAAGAGAGAAAACTCCAAGCTTGGTGGACTTTATTTTCCCCCAGACAGGGTTTCTCTGTATAACAACTCTGACTGTCCTGGAACTCACTCTGTAAACCAGGCTGTCCTCGAACTCACAATGATTTGCCTACCGCCAAGCACCACCACTGTGGTGGACTTTTATGTCCACCCCAAACATCCTATTTTTCTTATTGAGGGGAGATTACACTTTGCATTTAAGAGATTAACGCAGTGGGGGTTCTAAGATTCTAAGGATCTTTGCTTGATTACTGGTGGAGAGTTATCAGCAGGGCACTGCAGTGTCGCCATCAGTCCTCTGGGCTGATTCACTAGAAAGTGCACATCTAGCTTCTCCTTACTGGAGGACAGCACCTTTGGATAGCCAGAGGCTGTGCTGTTCTCTGACCATTCACAATTTGGACTCTTCTGGAACCCTGCCTTCTCTACCCTCCCCTGGCACTCTCTTCTTCACTCAACATTAGACATGTGGGAAGTTCAGCTCTACAGAGTTATCCAGAATGCCAAACAAGGGGAAGAAACAAAAACTCCCGAAACTGCTTTGAAAGCAGGAAATGGGTGGGGACACTGTTCCAAGACACCCTACCTTTTGGCTGTGCCCCCACTCCCTTCACTCAGTTCCAAAAGTTGAGCAAAGGTATACTCCTACTTTCCACACAAAACACATACTTTTGGGAGGAGACCAAACAGAATGGGCAGGCCTGGGGGAAGGTTCTAGAAACAGTGCCCACTGTGTAAACGGAGGATGCTACCGTCCCGTGATGACCAGTTGCTTGTTAGTAGAAAGGCCAGGAAGTGGGGTGGAGGGGTGGGGTGGGGTCAGAAGGATATGGTCTGAGCCAGCTCAGCCACCTCTGTGTGATCTTGGTACTTCTGCCTCCCTGAGACACTTCACTCCACACTTAGTCTGCTCAGGAAACAGGCTGCTGACTCCTCTGTCTACGGATCCTGGCAGACTGGCAGAGGACAACTTCTGCACTTTCTGAAACTGCCTGTCCAGCGTGGTTCAGCACTGTAGCCGCAAGTTGTTTGTGGTTACTTAAGTGTAAATGGGTTGGGTTGAGATGTCATAAAACTTAAAACTCAGTTCCTCAATCTCATCTGCCACAGTTCAAGTGTTTACCAGTCACATGTGGATTGTGGTGACCATATTGGACAGCAAAATATCGAACATTTCCATCCTCCGAACATTCTAGTAGTCAACACACAAAGCTAAAAAAAAAAAAAAAAAAAAAAAAAAAAAAAAAAAAAAAAAAAAAAAAAAAAAAAAAA